ACATAATTATATGTAAAACATTTTTTCCTAAGATAAATGACAACATATAATAACTAATTCTGATAACAAATTAAACTAACCAAGACCCTCTATAAATCAAAGAAATTGGAAAATTAACATATATAAAAACTGTGTATCGTAAAATAAAATATGGAGAACTAATTTATCAAAAAACTTTAAAATATAATTAATTATCCAGCAAATATAAGGATGCTCATTATGCTCATAGAGCACCATATCGCAAACATTACTATAAAAATAATTCAAGAACCAATAATGTTAGCCAATTAGTATCAGAGTAAATCATTTTTTGTTTTTTAGCTAATCATTTTCAGAAATAACAAATGGAAAAATGTAACATTAAAGCAATTCAAAGAACAAGAAAGTTGGAAAATAATCGATCTCATTACTGACTGATTTTTACGATATTTCCTAATTTCTTTTTTTTTCTTTTTTCCTTTTTCTTTCATTTTTTTTGATTTCTATTTCGACATTTAAATTCTCACTATAGGGGACCTCATCATGACAGGATTACTTTTTATTCACAGTTTTTATATATGGTTATGTTGGAGGAAGGCTCGAAAGTGAGCCGAAACATGTAAACGTGTTTTAGTGAATAAAAAAGTTTCACACTTCATAGGTATATTATTTGCGTGACGTCTTCTGCGCTTTACTCCTACTGTCCGTATCCTTTCCAGTTCTATAATTTTATTATTTATTAGTAAATTTATTTATACACATGATTGGTGGAATAATTAGGAAGCTCGTGAAAGTTATAGAAAAGGATACATGCTGTAGATTTTAATCATAAAAGAAACGCCACTTGAACGGCTGCGAATTGGAAAGATTGGCCATTAGATTTTGGATCCATTGTTCTCTAGTGTTACGTGTCTGAACTGCCTCAATTTCGTCACTTTGTTTTTTTTGAACAAAAATGGATGAGTGGAATCGCCTATTATTCTTACATCATGACCTTGGAGGATAGAGACTAAAGAGACCGAACTTATATGGATGAGTCCATCAAAAGCATGTTCAAAAGTGGTCATCTTCGATTAGTTCGATCGAGAGGTCGCTTTCCACAACACCGTTCTCGCAATTTGCATGGTAGGTCATGTCAATTTTACATGAAGAATGCTCCATTCTTCATGCAGTTTTAATGACAATTTATGTGAATTTACATTTTCCTGTTATTATTAGATCATGATGTCAAAGAATAACATCTCTATCTTAGATTATGTGCGTAAGCGTATATGAGAGGAATATTGTGATTCAAACGCCGTCTATTGAGCCACCAATACCAATTCAGAAACTTGATTTTGACCACACTTTTCAAATCCTAGTTCGATCTCTTTAATCTCTATCCTCCATGACCATGGCACACATAATTGGTTTGTTTTCTGTTCCTGCACTAAACTGCACTAGCACTCTCTTTCTCACTTTTCACAAATATCAAACATGTACCTGTTTCACTTCAAGTTCCAAAAGTGTATACTAGTTCAATCGCAGAAAATAGACTTAATAGGTTTGTTCGCGTCGCATGCTCCAAATTAACTCAGAGGGCACTTGGATCACAGGTAAGATGGCGGTTGGAACAATTGCATTCATGTGCTCCAATGTTCAGTGACACGAACGGATTTAGGACAAGTGAGCATGTTAGCATGCACCTAACCTAATCCGTGAGATCACTCGAACGGATCGGACATGTGTCTCGTTTCGTTTCGGGTATTTTGTGTTACCTCGATTATTTGAAAAAATGTTTTTATACAAAATAAATGCGTTTTTAATAAATATAAAAGTTATATTATATTTTTATATTATATTATATTATATTTTATTGTATTAATATTATTTTATTTTATTTAAAAAATTTTTCTTATT